ACTGTTCTACCACAATTACATTCTTTTGGTTCATATCTACATCTATCGAAAGGAAAAATATGCAAAAATCTGTATTTAGAGCAACTACAATTCTAACATATTTATACATATGTGCATCTAAATGTGTTAACGATGTACCAGTAATTAAATTAAATCGTTAAAGAATTTAGAAACAGTACACAATCATATAAATCAAGATTTTATCCAAATTGCGTCTATCTGGAACTAAAGTAACATACGAAAGATGTTCTTTATTTTACTTTAGAGATGTAAAGTCATTGTTGCTACTTCATCCATCTAATAATTCTATGGCATTTCTGTTTCAGGCTATGGGAAAACTCACAAAGATGCAGCCAGTGTTCGTACAACACACTCAATACCGGCAGCTTGTGGTCTCTATTACTTCGAGGTGAAGATCGTCAGTAAAGGTAGAGACGGGTACATGGGAGTTGGCCTTTCTGCACATGGAGTAAACGTGAACAGGCTGCCAGGTTGGGACAGGCTCTCTTACGGGTACCACGCCGATGATGGGCACAGCTTCTGTTCTTCTGGAACAGGACAACCATATGGGCCAACATTCACTACCGGCGACGTAATCGGCTGCGGTGTGAATCTTGTTAATAACACTGTCTTTTATACAAAGAACGGACACCATCTTGGTATAGCATTCACTGAACTTCCGGTGTGTACGATTCATTCTTCCGCTGAATCTATCGAATTTTTATTAATACATTCAACCTTTTACAGCCAAATTTGTATCCAACGGTGGGTCTTCAAACACCAGGAGAAGTGGTGGAGGCAAATTTCGGACAAGAACCGTTTGTGTTTGATATTGACGACATGCTTAACGAACTCCGTGTTAGAACAAGGTTGCAAATCATAAACCATCCCACGCCAGATCACGGTCAGTGGCAAGCAGTTCTCCACAAGTAAGTTCCATTCTTTGCCTCATTCTCTGTGTAAAAATGTTGTGTTGAAGTTATAGTACTGACGACCTTGTCAATAATTAAAAACGTATGCACTTTATGAATTGCTTTATATTTTTTATTGTCGTCATTTTTAGCAGTCAGACGATTTAAGTACGAAATACAGGAGTAGCCGAATGTTTCTGAAGTGTAAGATCGCTAAAAATTGTTGAAATAATACTTTATTTTATTTTTTTTTTTACAAAAACCAATATTGAGTCAAAAAAACAGTAAAAGAATCTTTTCACACAATCTGAGAACAGTACATCGTGTTCGTTCTTCTGAATTTTACATTTCTTTTAATGCAATTACGAAAGTTCAGGTTAATCAGGTATTCGTTATTTCTTCTTTTTCCTTCTCGTTTATTTGCAGAATGGTATCAACATATTTAGTCCATCACGGTTATTGTGCCACTGCCGAAGCATTTGCTAACAGTACTGGTCAAGTATTGGAGGAAGACTTTAATTCTATAAAAAACAGGCAAAGTAAGTTTCATTCGACATGGCTGATACGAATCATAGATGATAATTCACGTGCTTCATTTCAGGAATTCTAAAATTGGTACTGGCAGGTAGAATGGGGGAGGCCATAGAGTTGACGAGTCGATTATATCCAGGTCTTCTCGAGAGAGACTCGAATCTTCTTTTCGCCTTAAAGTGTCGACAGTTCGTTGAAATGGTGAACGGCAGCGACTCCGAGGTCTATCAGAATTCCAACATTAATCAAACTAGCGTTATACAGTCCACGAAGGCTTACACCAAGTCCTCGACGAACGGCAACGTCGAGGAAATGAACATTAACAACGCGATCAATGGCTCCAGCGAGCAACAGTTTGTCAACGGGCAGATCGAGGACGATGTAGATATGGAAGAGAATATCGTGAACGGTGTCAGAAACAATAACGGCTATCAGAACGGCGATCTGAATACAAACGGGTACAAATGTCAGAACGGAGAGGACGTTGACATGGGTGAGACGTTATTGTGTTGTTTCGCGAGAAAAATAACTGTCCTTGTTTAAAAACTTTGCACGAAGTCATTCATTGTTCACGCGATTATTGTTACAAATTTGCTCTCGGGTCTAAAGAAAATTTCGCCTGTTCTCAGAGATCGACAATACTAATCAAACCCATCAGCAACAAAATGGCAGTTGCAGTCCAGAGAACACATCGAACAAGGGCAACAAGAAACAACTCTGCGGCGGTGACAAACAAGCGATCGAGAAAATGTTAGAATTCGGCAGACAGCTCTACTCTCAGTCGCTACATCTACGACAACAAGACGGGAAAAGCGAAAGTAATAAAAAGATGCTGCACGATGCGTTCAGTCTTCTTGCTTATGCGAATCCGTGGGACTCGCCGGTCGGATGGCAGCTTGATCCCCAACAAAGGGAGACCGTTTGCGCAAGACTCAATTCCGCCATCCTTGGTAAGACAATACGTTTTGTTTACTGCATACAAATTGAGAAATTAAAATGGTATGTTCGAATTGTAAATGAGTGCAATATTGATGCGATCGATCCCGCGGCAGATGGAAATGCGTCCTTGCTCGGATATTACATACATGTATAATAACTTTATGAGTCTTGAATTAGAAGAGATACATACGTCAAGCAGTTATAATTGTTTTCATATTAAATTTATTGAACCGTAATTAACACCATTACGATCTAGTTAGAGGCTCGCGGTCACCTCAATATTTTTATAAAAAATCAAAATATTAATTATTACATTGTGTACACCGATTGATATTGGATAGGTTTTGTTTCAAAAAATTTTTGATACGATGTGTAGTTAACGATTAAATTTAGTTGATAGAACTTATTTCCCCGTGATGAATTCTGCCATACTGGTAACATCAGTAGTTGCTGAAGTTCCAGCAGTATTATTGAATATAAAATCGTTATTTAGCATGATTGGGTAGTTTATGTGAACGGATGGGGCTATGTGACATTGAATTTGATGAACATCATTTCAGAATCGAGTAATTTCCCACGACGACCACCGTTGGAAGTCGCAGCGTCGCATGCGAGGGAACTTGTACGGTTAATGTCTCGCGCAGAACTTGGGGCATGCGGCTTCGCAGATGTAGATAATATCATCCAATATTGACGGTGCCTACCCCTGCTGCCACGTCTGCTTCTTCTACCGGCACGAGTTTGGTTAGTAATTCTCTTAACGCGTTCATTACGCACCAATTGCAAGAAGCTGGGGATAGTTGATATGTCCTTCCTATGATCGACAGTGAAAAGTCAACGCGAGCAAGTCGAGAACGATACAATTGAATGCGTATGCGGTCGTTGTTAAGTCAATGAGGGAGGAAGATTGTTAAAGTGTCGATAACCTTTAAATTAAGCTATATTTTGTGATAAGACGATATCATGCATATTTAAATAAAATACATTTATTAATTTTGTTTATTGCTACGAATAAAGTATATTCACTCTTGTAAGAAGAATAAAGCATTTTAATTTTTTGTTTATTCATCTGCCATCTTGGGACTGGTTTTCAATCGTTTATTTGCATGCTTATACTCTCCTCTCGCACGTGTTTTTTATTTCATCCCTATTCTGAGTCATCTGTATAGCCGATTTAATTTTTTACACCATTCAGAAAAATGTTTTTAGACTGTTGTCTTTATTAGCTTCTTTTTTCGATGTTGTTTCAAAGTAGACATCAGTTATGAAATTTGAGAATAATAGTTTCTACATTATTAAAAGTTATTTCCTGTATATCAATTATCCCCGGTGTTTCTCTGCAAAGTATTTTTACATTTTTCTACATTTTTTACTTTTAGTCTGGATTATGATTTTCTTAGTTGATCACACTGATCAATAATTTTGATAGCCTGTGAAAACATATTATAAATACATTAATATTCTGATCTTGTAATTATAGATCAAGAAAAAGTCTTATGTTTCTTTTTTTATATAAAACATATGTCCACGGTGCATATTTCGACATTTTTAGTAAGTATTATGAATAAATTATTTATTACACATAATTAATCTATTATAATAGATTCTTTGTAAAGTATTCATCATTCCATCCACTCTTTATTGAGAAGCTAAATAGTATAGATTATGCCAACCTCCAATGACTTTGCAAGACCGATTATATTTATGTTAATCATAATATTATAATTGATAATAATTTAAAAAGAATGGTTATTACGTAGTCCGATAATAAGAATTGTTTCCTACAAACAAATTGAGATATAGCAGATAGCAGCACTGTTAATGCTGCTAATTAGGGTGTTCTCCTACTTTGATGATTGAAGAGTACGGTATTGCCATTTTTCTAAACTAAACTTTGTGACTATATTTATCAATCTTTAAACATTTGGAAATACGAAAATTTTATTTTATGTACAAAGATTGACTGCTTCTTAAAGGGAAACTTCAGTGTGCTTAAAATAAGATGATTTGTTTCTTTATTTCAAAGCCTTCAATATTATTAGCTTCATAAATCTGGCAGTAATAGTAATAGAAGATTTTCAATGATTGAAACGATAAAAGTAGAGAGATTACTTTATCTTCCTTCATTGCACTATCACTTTTTAGCACTCTACTGAGGTGGTCAGTGAACTTGATGTTACCTCCAGGTGACTCCGAATAATTGTATGAAGTTTGTTCCAGGATGTGGAAACGGAACGTGGAGCAGATAATACTCTTGCAGCATCAACGTCGCGACATCGCGTGCCTCAGCTAGAGTCTGCTCCACCAGCAGTTGGCTCTCTGGCTCGATCTCACACGTACACCTAAACACAAACGAATACATATACACACGCGCGAAACCCACCAAAAAGTACATAACGTTATGGCAATGGAGATGAGTATATGGGGATGGCAATTATGCTGGCATTAACGGTCACCGCCACCGTGTACGTGGCTGAATAATTGAGCAACAGTGTTTGGCGAAACGCGAAGAGATCACGTTTCGGTTCTGTTCAGAATGCATACGTACGGAAAATGTAAGAATACCAAGATTGAATGCAGTTTAAGATCAAAATCGAGGACGAAGGTTGAGATGCTAACTCTCGCTTTAAGAAATGAATGTAACAAGAACGGTAGTTGCAAACCCAATATTTGAATGGATGGAAATTTTTTCGTTGAAGTTGTAGATGGAGGAAGCTCCGCTAGGAGTTCCTTTTTCATGATGAGATATGAGATCGCTGATCAAGATTGTAGCCGAGCAGTAAGAGATGGAAAACAAGGTTGAAGATGGCAGTGGAGGAAGGAAATACGAACACAATGAAGGATGATGTTTCAACACCTGCCAACCAAGACGACCCTTTTCTCGTTTCCCTTTTTAGCCCGTGATACACCGTAATCTCACGGTTGTTCCCTCGTTCCCTCCATCTACAGACCTATCATGATCATAACAAGTTATGCTTAATTCAATTAATGGATCGATGAACACTTCAGGTAGGTCTTTCACCCATTTTACCACATTCTTATAATTTAACTCGATTCCTCCCTTCTGTCATTTCACTTCATTGTTAACTTTATTGTTCCAGCTACCGTGACAATTTATTTCTCTCTCTGAATTTATCGTTGCATGATACAATTTAGATCATTCAAAATTAACTTTGCACGTTGTCATTCTATATCCTCTCAGACTCTACTCAACGTTTTATATGCTGGTACATTAACGCCTGGTTAAGTTTGTTTTACTTGGCAACGTGAAATTTTAGGTCCATCGGCTCATGATCCCTTCCCGAAGTTCGCTTTTATCATTCTTACCTCTTCCACCTCTAATCCGCCCTACTCCATGACACTTTTCCTCGTTGAGGCTTGTTGTACAGCATTTCCCCCTTAACGTTGCGCTACGTCGCGAAATGGTGGGGCATATGGAAGCGCTACGTTACGGAGGGAATGCTGTATTTTGCTCTCTTTTGATTTCAAAGTTTCAATTCCCTGATCGATCCAGGTCACTTTTTTATCTGATGATTAACGAGTTAACGAGAAAAGTCTCGTCGACAATTAATTACATAATTAATCCCCGTCGAGTATTCTGGATAGCCTTTCTAATCGTGTTGTCAACGAGTCGATTTTTGTATCAATTGTTAGCTTTTAAAACGTAAAAGGGAGAAGAAGGTAAAATAAGTATAAACGACTATTCTTCGATTACTTGTCATTATTGTAATTTAAGGTAGAAAGATAAAAAAGGAACCGTTTCGTAGATAATACCGTTTCAAATTACGTTTCACATTCGATCTACGTAATCGATAAAATAACGACGAAGCAATAATTATAATTTTTAAATAACCTTTTCTCTTTTCTTTTTGGTATATCTTTGTTTTCTTTTTTTTTTTTAATTATATTATAAATTTTTACTATTTTCTATTGTTACGAATACACTTTCGAGCCCCATCAATCGGAGATTTTTTTATCGAACATAATCGTCATCGGACAACCGTTTATGTTCTTCCGTTCGATTTTTTATTTTGTTTAAGAAATAAAAAGGGTACATATATCGTGCGTTAGTGATTATATTGTGTGATTACGAGGAACTTTGAAAAACAATTCAGCGATGAGATCGTAAAATTTGATGATTCTGAATGATTGTAAAAAAGATAAGTCGAATATTATGACAGTTATACAAAGATAATAAAAGTTGCATAATTAAAGAGAACGTTGTAAAATATGCGGTGTTTTATATTTCTATCTGTTTCTTCTATTTCGTTGAATGAAAACAGAAAGTGGAAATATTTATCGTTTTAATAAGCAATTTGAATTGTTTTAGCCAATACCAATGATGTAAAAATTGCACGAGTTGCTTGAAAATGAAATTTCGATTGACGCCGGTAAAAGTGTTTCTGTGTTCAGGTAATGAACATTTATTTGTTTAAATAAATTTTCAACATTTTTATACGCAACATAGTACGAAATCTTGTATCCAAATTCGAAGGACACGTTCTTTCTAATCGCATAAGGTGTATAGTTAATTAAATCATAGATAAAGTATAATAAACAAATGCGAGTTTTTATTGGAGCTGAGTGACCAAAATCTTGCTTTTTTTTACAAAGATTAAATTAATATTCTTTGAAACATTAGCAATTTTAAATTGTACGTCGTAGAATTAATTGTTTTAGTTAAGAAGAATCATGAAGAATTAATATTGTTGTATAAAATGTGTATCGGGAAAAGCAAATTTTTGGTAAACGGAACGAGGGAACGATTGAGAAACAATTTCGAACGAAACGAAAACGTGAGGAGACGAAATATGTGTATAATAATATAATAATAATATTAATAATAATATTAATAATAATAATAATAACAATAAACTAACAGTACTAATAACGACGACGACGATGCAAAATTGACACTCAATTAATTGAAGTGAACAGATTAATAATAAAAAGAATATATACACATATATATACATAAACACATATACGCATTCATATGTGTATGTATGCACATAGGTACGTCACGCTTACGTGTGTGTATCCATATACGTATATCTATGTATATGTACGAAACAATCTTGTATTCTACGATAAGTAATTGTTTTTTACATGCGACATAGTGTATTATTATTATTATATAATACATCATACGTATACATATACGTCTCAGTGCGTGTATACGTGTGCATCTATGTAGAGGAAGTATATATAAAGCATTATATATGTGTATAAATGAAAAACAAAAAGGAAGTATAAACGTATGATTAGCGTACGCGTGAGATTTAAGCTAAATTTTATTATTATTTTACATGTGTGTATATTTATTGGCACATATATATATATTGGTATGTCTATATGTGTGTGTAATTTTTCATACGAATAGGATGCGTCACAGTATGTGTTTAAGTGCCATCGAAAAAAGATTGTTCAATGTCGCATTGAATTTTGTTTGTTTGTTTTTCTTTTTCTCGAATTGTCAAGCCACGTTGAAGAGCTCAATATTTCTTGGAAGTCAACAGTACCAAATGGTGCCGCATTTAAAAAAAAGAAAAAAAGAGAAAGAAAAAGATGAAAATGGTACCACAAACATCACGGTGTACCTCGTATACTAAAACGGTATTGTGCTATTGCAACACCATTGGTACCCCAAGTTTTGTAATGGTATCTCGTAATACCGTGGTATCATTGATGTACGTGTAATAGAATGATACTCTATCGCTGTGATATCATTGGTACTCCGTCTACTAGAATGGTACCCTGTCCCTGCGTTACCATTCGTACCGATATATTAGAAATGGTACCTTGTCACTGTGGTATCATCGGTATATCCTAACGTAGTACAACGTTAAAATTCCGTCCGGTGTCATTAAAATGGTACCGGACGAACGTAGCAACACTGGCACCCATGTACTATAAGGGTCTCTCTATTATTGTGATACCATAAAGTAGTTCACTAGTATCGGTAGTCAAGAGACGAACGAAATTGTTTACGGTAATTGCTAAAAATTGTAGTCCGAGAAGGTTCGCGTTCTTTTGATGCCTTGTTGGATAGTTACCAAAAAATTGTATTGCTCACAGAACAGTCGAATAGCAAGCCCCCCTGCAATATCGTTTATTCTGTTGTTATCTTCCCGGAAAAGAAAACAAGTTTCGCTCCGTTCAATTAGGGAATTACAAGTTTATTAGAAAATTATGAAGAAGAATTTTTGTTGCTGCAGCGAAAATAGTTCTAAAGGAAATAATAGCATATGACACTTCATGTGACTCATCCTGTATACGCAGACATAGTATCGAATATAAGCGTGAATGTGTTGAAGAGGGTGCGTGGATGGGCGAGTGTGTACGAATTCATTGATTCCAACTGTAACACGATGGAGATATTTGATGATTTTTTTAGTGTTAATCGTTTTTCTGTACTATAGGTAGAGAGCCACGAATATCTTGCGAATAATACAGTATGATTTGGAGATATTGTTCGTTGAATACTGTTTCTATCATTCATTTCGAAAGTGTTCCCGAAATTCTTATTATTTCTCAGCGGATTCGAAGTATTATTCTAACATTTTCTAATATCCCTACTATGTCTGTTCTTTTTTTTTTTTTATTAAAATCAGTCACTAAAACTTAACATCCTCCATTCAAGTATACCCTGAAAATTTTTCATGCGACTTCTTATAAGTATTATTCTACTCTGCAATTAAATTCTCGTTACTTAATAATTATATATCTTACATAGAAAGTTATGTTATTTTCAGATCGTTATATGGATGTCTACGTTATCTACAGGCTATACACGTATCTGCTGCAACCTACATTACGCGCCGATGGTATTATTACATTGCAGGTAACTGCATTATTAAATTATTGGTAAGAAAATTCTTTTTGCCTTAATCTTACGAGGAGATCGAATGCAAAGCTATTATCATAACATTAATGAACCCGTGTAGGATAAATTTATAGTTATTTCTTCTGCGTAGAAGATATAATTAAAAATTCTAATAAATAAATACTGAAATATCTTATTTATGACTGTATATTTCAATCCAATAAAAATTACAGTTCCCTGAACTCCAAAAATGTTCCAGAACTCTTCAAATTACTACCAGTGCCCATATCGCAAGCTTTTAAACCTTTATATCGTACACCGAAACACCCACACTGCGACAGTTAGAGCTTTTATCGCTCCTCGAATATTAGTAAAATACAGCCTTCAGTCTCCGAGCGGAATACAGTAAATCCTGCTAAAAGGCGATGGGCGATACGCCGTTAATGGCAGCGGTATAGTATACGGCTACACCCTAATCATCACTTTACAGGGTTCAGCACCCAGGTGCCAACCATCGAAATTTCCCAAAAGATGCATCCGAACCGAACCAAACAGTCTCGGATCAAACCGCATCCGTGCCGCAGACTTCGTTTGAAAATCTGCACCCTCCGCCCCTAAATCTAACCTACTTTAAACCGAGCATTGTCCCCGAGTTTGTTACTTCGACTGCAGCCCAACTTCCTGACAGACCGCAGCGAAAAGTGATTTCTCAATTTCTCACAGCCACCCACAGGTTACCAACCCTGGAATGGCGAGACGTGCGCAGTGCAGCGGATCGTCTTTGTCGTGAAATTTGAAATCAGAGATTTCGCTGGATTGAACATTTTTTTTCAGGTTTCAGTATCTCCTCGAGTGGCAAGTAATCTCCTCGATTATATGTGGTTTCATTTAAGTTAATTATTGAAAATATTTCCGCCATGGTACAGAATAGTTTATTTATTTAATTTATTATAACTGTTTCATTTAACGTTATAACAATAACATATTTGTTTTATGTTTTAGCCGTGGATTATCAAACTAAAGTATATATCGGTGTTCACTGAAATTTTGTCCTATTTGGAACGCTATTTTATTTGAATTGTGAAGAGTCTATTATTGAAAACAGTATTTTAACAATTTTCTCTATAAATGATCATGTGTAAGCAGAACCTTAAAAAAAATATTTGTTTTAATATCGCGAAAGTTAACAAAGTCCTGCAGTGAATTATTGCAGGGTTCCTACCCTCTTCGCTTTACCCCTCGAAAATTTCAGTTCACTATGACGAAGAAGTTATGCGGTACCACAGCCTAAACGAGAATTTGTGTACCTCAATTTCGTGCAATGCAACTGGCCCTATTTTGTTTCCAGTTTATTTTCTGTTTGGCTTCAGATAAAGTTTGGGAGCAGAGGATCGTTTGTATCGTGCGTACAGTCCGCAGGATTCAAAATACTATTATTCTTTATTTTCCAAGCTCTGTGTAAGCCCTTTTAAACTGCAGTTCAGACAGAGGTGCACAAAGTCCTACGAGACGGCAGAGAACCATTGAAGACACCGAAAAGCTCGCTCAGTTCGTTCGCAGTTCCAGCCATTCCAGCCGCACCATTCTATCAATATGCAAGAGTTCATCGTTGCGCAGCGACATAGACGGTGCTTTCAGTTTAAAAGGACCTAACATGTGCGAACGTACGCCCATAATACACAAACTACTCTCTCTCTCCCAACCTCTCTTTCTCTCTCTCTCTCTCTCTCTCTCTCTTTCTGTCTCTAAGACGTCTTCATATTATTTTTAATGTATCCTACCACTCGGTTCCAGGCTAGGCACCTCGCCAGAGCATTGCGCGCGCGGCCCGCAGGATTCAAATCCTCGCGGAGGCATTCGAGCGCGCAGGACGCGTCTCGATTCCTCGATAACTCGAGCCCTAGGATGATCGGAGGGGAAACTCGGCGCAGGCGCGCCGCAGGATCTCTCCTCACCATCCCGGAGGGTCCAGTGGTGGGGCCAGTCGGCGGATCGATCGACGTCCCGTCGAACCTCGCGGCCGTGAGCGCCGCTGCGCCTCTGGGCGGGGCGAGAGGGCGCCTCAGTCGTGCACCGGAGCTCACCAGGGACGCGTCCAGCTCCTCGAAACGCTTCAGGTTGCTCGTGTCGCCGGATCCTCTCTCTTTTCTCTCGGCCGACCTTTTTGTACACGGTCCCGTGTCCCCCGTAGAAGCAGTTTTCGCGTCGGTCGAGCACGTACGGTAATTAAAAAAAAAAAAGAAAAAGTCGTCTCGCGTTCGCGGCGAAGAGAGAGAGGAAGACAATATATATATGTACACATATATATACATATATACATAGACTCGTATATATACGTACACGGTGGGCATATACGGATTTATACTTATATATGTACATATATACATAGATATATATATATATACACATATATATATATATATACATATATACATGTATATACATATATAAAGAAAGAAACGTGACCGTTCAGTTCGAAGTGCTACTGTAACTCCCCCGGAGTAAGAAGATCGTCATCGATTCCACCACCGTGTCACCGGCGACGATTATATTCCAGCGAGACGGTAGTTGGCCGCGGGTAGCTCGGCTAAGCTCGGCGCCCGGCGAGATACTCTGATCAGTGTTGCGCGGCACCGCTGCTCTGCGGCTTCGGCTCTTTCCGTTCGTACGAATTGTATTCTGTCGGGCCGGGCCCCCGGTTCGGCTCGCGGTGTCTGCTGCTGTTCGTTCGCCGGTCGCGCGTATCGATTCGGTAGAGAGAGAGAGACAGACGCGACACGGCCGCGCTTGTACATAGATACGTTCGATTCTATCGCAGTATCCAGTGAGACTTAGTGCGACTCTGCGCGTCCGGACACCGGTGTGCCGTACAGAAGGGTTCGCGGACCGTTCACACCGCGGCCTAGAGGCGTCTATGTGCGCGCCCGGAGACACCGAGAGCTACCCTGGCACCTAGCGGACGACGCGGGGTGGCTGCACCAGTGAGTTCTTGCCTTTAAACGCCCTATCGCCGGCCTTGTGCCATCGACACCTCTGGCCCCGCGCGTACCCTCGCCGTGTTTCTACCCTGCTGCACAGAGTGAAATTACGTGCTCTCTATCGCGCATCTGTTTGTGCCGAACCAAGGGGCTAGAGCCCCTTGCCTACACGGCGGCGCTCGTTCGACGTCGACGAGAGGACAGTTCTGGTAAAGGATCCGTTTCGTTAGCACAGTTCTCACCGTATATCGGCGGTGGGCTCTCCGGGCTCGTGGGAGTGAGGTGTGCGGATTATAGGACTGGTGAAGTGACACGCAGACGCGAGCCAGGCCGAGGCAAGGGGTTAACCTGTTAACAGGGGGTGATGAGCTAACTCGCCTTTTACGCTCGGCTATATCCGCCGCTGGGGAATCGCGTCTTACTTTCCGCTCGGTTCCGAGCAGGGCCGCCCGACATTTCGGGCTCGGCTCGGTCCGCCCAGCTCGGAACTACACACCGCAAATGCATCCGCGCCGATTCCGGCCGGCCGAGGAGGCAGCGGCTCGGGTCGAGGACCCGAAAGTTCGCGATCGCACGCCTTCTCCCTTTTACGACCGTTGTATTCTATTTTATAAGTCGAACGACATTGTCCCACGCCGCGGTGCACCGAAGTCGGGGGTCACTTCGTCGCGGCGACCAATTGCTGCGCCCCTGGCGCTCGTTCTCGGTTGCGTGATTAGCTTCGTATTTGTTTTTTAATTTTTTTAATTCGATAACGAACAAAATTCGGGGACATTTAACGAATAAATTTTTATTTATTATCTTTAACCGTTTGAGTGCCACGGAGCGATTTTGCGCTTCTCATCTGTCTCTCGAACAGTGCCAGCGCTCTAGGCTGCGAAACCGATAACCGCGACACGCTCGGTTTTTGTCGATGCGCGACTTTACAAATATTCAATCGGTTTGGCTCTATTAGATAAACGGCATCGCGGTCCCGACATTTCAATGAATTGAAATGAATTGCCTTGGTCAAGGTATTCATTTTCCGTAACCATGATATATTTTGAAATGTCTCCAGTATTAGAAATATTATTGTCAGAAACAGAATCGTCGATAACATTAATCCTTCTT